GCTTCAATTGAGGTAAAACCAGTTATTTTGATTAAAAACCAAACAATTACTCCAATTTTGATGAAATTTCTATGAAACCAATGTGAAAATATATCTATTCAGATTAAAAAAGGATTTACAAATTGGTTTTATAAATGACGGAGTTCTAAGATAACAGACATAAAAAATACAACCGAATTTAAAAACCTCCTTATTTTTTCGAAGTCAATTTAGAGTATATACTAATGTAAATAAACATGTAGAAGCAAGACTACCGTTATTATGTTGTAACACATTTCTTAATTGATGACTTTCAAAAACCCTCGTTTCATAAGTAAAACCCGCCTAGAAGCGTGTCAGACTCGCATTAATTGGGTTCCATAGTTCATGTGTTACGGTTTTAACTTGGCGTGATTAATATTAAGTGACTGAAACAATTTTGGACTGTAGGTGGTATTCTACTTATAATACTTAGCTGCGGAATATAAGAGCAATCCTATTACGTAACTTTCTTACCTATTTTTTAAGTAAGAATGACAAATTAACGGCACATTTATCAGCTTCCTGCATGCTTAATAATTTCACTGTATTTATAATTTTTGTAACAGCACTATTGGGACAGGCAAACAGATGTCTTTTTTATATAAAAAATATATTTATCTGCTATAAAGTAGATATAGATTTTTAAATAAAAACTACTTAAGCTAACCTGGTTTTAGTAAACTACTTACAATTGTTATCCGCATTAAGAAACAAGATTATCAATCGTAACAAAATTAATATGGAACCGACACGAGAGTAAACCCCGTAGATAAGTTAAATCACATCAAAATGAATTCTCTATATCAATTTAAAATTGTCGAAAATAGCATTAAAAGGATACACGGACGATAATATTATGTATATTGCAAAAAAAAAACAAGCGAATTGAGAACCTGCATGCAGTCATTGTAGTAAATAACATTTCATAGCACATTGCACATTGCTTAACAAAATTCTATATTCCCTAGTTAAGTTGAAGGATTTTATATCTAGACAACAAAGAATTGAGTTTCAGTAATATTACTTATTACCGTAGAAAATTTTAAAGTTTCTCTAAATTATAAAATTTTTTTGACAATATTTAATAAATTTGGCTCATATTATAAATTAAAAGTCATAACAGAAGCCATGCTTTTTGCCACTATTTTACATTATTATAGAAAGAAATTTTCCCAACAGTGGCAGGTTAAAGATTGTGAACGCCACGACTTATTGTTGTGATGATAAAAATGATTAATGTGAAAGTTTAATGATAAATAATGAGATAGTCTGTACCTAGAAATCCAATGTTTTGGTTTTTAATAGTTCTTTTATTTTATAAACATCAAGCAAAACAAAAGAAATCGATATTTTCATATTTTTGAAATTTTTCATATAAAATGAGATGCCTTTGAATAGACATTATAAAATAACCAGAAATTCCAGGAGTTGTTTTGATTAGGCACCACCTCCGTGAGAAACAAACATTCAGTTTGTGGTAAAAATAGAAAAGTTTGCCATTGCCTTTTTTAATACTGTAAGTGAAAAATTAAAAATAAACTTAATAAACTTTTATAATGGTTATTGTAACCAAAACATAAATCATTTATTTATTTATATGTTATTGTAAAAGCATCAATGTCAACGGGTAATATGGTGTACAATATATAACTATTTACCAAAAAAGAATTTTAAAAATATTACAGTTACAAAGAGATTATAGCTCCAACATAGATAATAATAATAATGTAAATCAATATAGATATATCTGTAACTATTTATCTACAACACTTTTCACTTTTTTCACCACATAATCACATTCCTGTTTTACCAAAAATTGACTGATAGAGAATGCTATATTCAGTCCGCCTTTTGTACGTAACATTTTTTTATAATGTCAATAAAGAATAAGTAAATAAAAACATGGTTTTATTAAACATTTTATTGATATAAAATTTCTTCCAGAATGTTTCATTTAGTACCCTAGAGCTGAGTTCAAATCAGTCATGTATAATATATACATACATATTGGTCGCGCTTGTATACATACCTATAATACATAAATCTATTTACTTTAATAGAATACGATTGATCTGTATATGAATAAAAATTATCAAAATCATTTTTAAGTCAATAATATTTTCACATTAAATGAACTATTTGTAACTTCAAGCTATTTGCGTGTAATGCATTTAGCCGGTCGGTTTTAATTAATCATCATCGTCGTTCATCTGTTAAATCTAGTTGACCCTCTATTAGGAGGTTTTGCCAGTAGTTGCCATGCTTGGCAGGCGGGTTAGCAACCGCAGTTAAGCGTTAGAGATGTTTTAAGAGAGACGCTGCTACCCATCCTTCGACCATTAAGTTCCCTTAGTTGCTTCTTACGACACAGACGGAAAAGAAAGGATTGGCCTATTCTACGCTGAGACCACACAGCAAGATATATAAAACTAATTAAATATTTTTCCACATTTGATATCTCTTTATATTCTATTAATGTAAATTGGACTCTCTTTTCCACGCTTAGTCTCTCATTTGGCCTATTGTGCGTATTATATTCTATTATACATATGTAGCTTTTATTAATTAAAAATTTGACTCGAAAATATGTGAGTGAATAATTAAAAAAGTTAGCCATAAAGACACTTTCGTAATATACGAGTGCATATAACATATGACAGATATGGGCCATAGCTATAATCAGCCTCAACTTTTTAATACTGCCCACAACAAATTATAATAACAAATTTCTTATAAAACTTCTTGTCAGATTAAATTTCATTTCAAAATAACATATTAGTTTTTGCGTTTTAAATATAGAAAGAGTCCCTTTCAATACATAAAGATGAACAACTTTTAGTATGGGTATAAGATTCCATTTGGACTTTTTTAACATAGCTCCTTTAAAGTTACACAAGAAAAAGGTCTTAGTATGCATCAATGGGGTTCCTTCGAAGGGCAAGTGCGTTGTTAGGTAAGTTGTTTTTTAAGTGGGAGTTCGATAATAATAGCTCTTATAGTACAATTTTGAAGAAGACTTGACCCGGTGGGTTAAGTCCATTTTTAAATAATGCTGAAAGCAAATATTTTGTAATAATACGGGAAATTCCTTTTCAATGCCAACTTACATAATGAGGACAAAAACCTCTTGTTATGAGTGCGAACATGCGTAAAATTTTCTTTTTTTTTTTTTTTTAAGTTGCAGTAATTTTGTTGGTTATGCGTTTAGATATCATACAGATTTTGTTTTTATTATTAAATATATCAATAAGTGGATTTTTTCATAGGTGAAAATAAAATAGTATTCCAAGCGCCATCGGTACACGCTGACGTGGGCATCAATAAGAAACGATAGGTGAAGATAGGTCCGTTGACCCATCATGACAAATTCAATAAGAATTAACCACGACGATTTCCAGGGAGAACCTCATGCAGGTCGACCAGATAGGATTTATAGCTAGCAATAGGGCTGTTAGACCCCATTGCCAGCAATCCCTTCTCTTCTATATAAGTAGATTAAAATGAAATGACATACAAAGCTATCATAGACACATCCTATTTTCTTAATAAGGTAAGTATCCTTATTACGTATTCGATGGTAAAATCTAGTTACTGAACCTATCTACTTAGGTACCTACTTGCAATAGTCAAATAAAAAAAAAATATTTTGCCAACTTCACAAAAATTGGTAATGAAGATACAAATAGACAAATATATTGAAGAGTTTGTGTTATATTTGCCATGAAACAGCATTACACAATGATGTCTATTTAAAGAGCAAGGAAACGTGAGTCTTAGCAACTTAATCTTTTGAAATAGCAGTACGTGAAGAATAACATGAGCATCATTTTGATTCGTGATGTCCATTGTCATATTTAAGTCTTTAATAACCAATCCCGTCGAACTTAGCCAGTGGCCAGTGGATTTTAATGAATTACAGAAGCTTATTAGAGAACAAGAATTTAGGGACTACTCACACTTATTCAACTCCATTCGCGTTTCGCTGAACGATTTTGGTCACACTTATACAGCTCAGCTTTTATCAGCCGCATACGGCTTTGTAAGAATGAGAAAAGCCGTCATAGCGTGCTATCTCCGCTGAAACGCTTATCTACTGCGTACGGCGTTGAATATGCTGCATTTCGTAAAAATAAAATAATTATAATTACTATAAAATATATTTGCACTCTTTAATCCTTGCGTACATAATGATTACGCAATAATAAATCAAATCAATGCAAAAACAATACAGGTCGCAACTTGTCGACAAGGAGTCGCGAAACATCCCTGTAAAGAGCTGTTTCACCGCATTTGTCAGTGAATACGGCGGAACAGCGGTAAACGCAGCAGAACAGCGCTGAACGCTCTCTATAGCATTCGCATGATAAATACACATTTATCCACATTTTATACTGAGTTGCCACGAAAGCAGAATAGACGCGAAAAGCTGAATGGGTGCGTACACCTCTCCATACAAAATCGTTGTTTTCTATGGACAAAAACTGAATAGAGCTGAATAAGTGTGAGTAGTCCCTTAATCATCGTCCACCTAGCTGTATATGAGTTTATAAGTTCTTGACTATTTAATTATAGTGTGCTGAAAATCATTACTTTTTTTTATACTACCTTAACACGATCGCAATTCTAATATTTAAATATTTTAAACCTACCTATCTGCACTAAGTACATATACCGTAAATTATTTTAAAATGTATAAATGACAACAAATATATTTTTATGATCTATTCTTAAGTGGTTTTTATTTTATATCACCCCCGCTCTTAAATAACACTCATGATTAAAAATGATAAATGACTCTACTAGGTAACATATAAAATAGCACTGTACAATGTCATATGTGATGTACAATCTAAGAAAGTTTCGGGGATTACAATTCATCCCATTATCAAAATTATCTTTGAACAATTCTACGGCTTATATACTAATTTTCTGAAAGCGATTAAAAATCTCTAATATACTTCATTTTGTATTGTTTACAGATAGCAATTTCGTCCTGGGCAATGCTCAAGTACCTGCGTACCCAATCGTATATTGCTCAGATGGATTCTGTGAGCTGACTGGGTGGGCACGAGCACACATCATGCAAAAGGGCTGTGCGTGCAAATTTCTACATGGACCGGACACCCGCGAGGAGCATCGACATGAGATCGATGCAGCTCTCGAATCCAAACACGAGCTCAAGCTCGAACTCATATTTTATAAAAAAATTGGTAAGCAGCATATTTTAACAATAAAGTTGAATAGGTACTGACAATGTTTGTATACATATACTGTTTATTTAGGTACTACTACCCTCATTCATCCCTTGTATAGTGGCTTAAACTGCTAAGTTAAATTTCTATGTGCTCTTTAATATTGCACTCTATAATTATAATTAATTTTAAAAAATCATCTATACATATTGATAACTTTTATTCGTTTATAAATTTTTTTCGAGGTTTTCCCAAGAGACTACAGCATGGGGTTCTTCAAAAGGGGGGTAAAGAGGTTTCTTCAGAGTCGGCAACACACACGTAATACCTCTAGTATTGCAGGTGTTCATAGGCTACGGTAACCACTTACCATTAGGTGGGCCGTATGCTTGTTTGCCACCTCAGTGGTATAAAAAAAAATGTATAAAATTTCATGATTTCTTCTGTTCTCTTTAATAAATCTATGGAAATAAATAAATATATAAATTATTGGAGATATTTATTGAAAACTTACGAAATTTGCGGCAGTTATTCAATAGATTTGATGCTCGTTCATTAAGAAAAATTCTTAACTACTATGGCAATATCCTATATTCCTATTCCATATCTCTTTACAATGGAAGTACGTATACTATACCTATATGTGTAGTGTTTAATTCTACTGAAACCAAAACCAAAATAATTTCCATGAAAATTCAAAGAATACATTGTTTATATTTTTCCAATCTAGTCACATTTAAACAATGTCAGCCTCATCAAAATTTCACATACGAATTGATCAAAGCTACTTTTTTAATTCCATTTCAAAGCGAGCTAGTGTTTGATTTGGGTCAGATCCGGAAATCAATTTATAAAATTACGGACCTTTTCTCTTTGAATCCGCTGCGTTTTTATGTTGAGTGGATACTACGTATGACTCGTCAACTCATGTTCCGTTTGAGCCAATTAGCTAATTTAAAGAATCTATTTTTTTTTATTACACAAAAATATTTTTAAGAACTTGTTGAAGTCTTTTCAAACAGTTTGCAATACGTTGTCCGAGCAACAATCGTAAACTCAAAACCAATAAGGGGTTTACGATTTCACTCGACAAAATTAAACTTTTACAAGCACGCAGATGTTTGTCGTCACCACTCATTTACTGCCTCTAAGAATGACGTAGTTATGGTATCTGGTATACTTGGAATCATTGCAAAAAGAAACAATAAACATTACATATTTAATTAGCTTAAATAATATTTTTTGTAAAATGCGTAACTGGCGGGTGTGACGGGGATCATGATTTTAGTGACATGTTGCCGTTGCCCCTGTTGCAGAAGTCAATAACACGAAATATTTGCGTATTTCCGTAAATCAATAATTGTGATTCAAAGATAACCACAACAATTTAAAAAGTATTTTCCTTATGTTCAATATCAATATACAATATATTACATTCATCAGTAGTTGTATCTACCCATCATAGTTGAAGGATTTCGTTGATCTTAAAATAATATTATTTTTTAATTCACAGGTACTCCTTTTTGGTGCTTGCTCGACATCGTCCCAATTAAGAATGAGAAACGAGAAGTGGTTTTATTTCTCGCCTCGTTCAAGGACATCACAAACACCAAGATGGCCGCCATGAACTCTAATGAGGATTTTGATAGCGGTAAGTACTTATAAAGGTTGTCTCTTGAAACTCTTGTAAAGAAAAATACTAGCTTCGAAAGTGATTACGAGAACCTGTTTTGTATTATATCGAGGTCTTGCTACCAGGCTATTTGATAACAATAATAATAATAATATTAAGTGAAGTTGTTGTCGGTTATGCATTTGTATTAACTCATACTGAGCACGTTGTTTTAGTGCTATAGGTACTTCTATAAGGTTGATAGCGTTAGATTGAGCTCCTGTAGCTCCCAGTTGGGCCTTAGCGAGTTGCGAGCATCACCGCACGGTAAAGTTCCTTACGACTGTTTGTATCAACTATCCACTATGTACCTACTAGTAGCATTGATATAATTAGTCTGTAGACAGTCTGAGTTGCATTACTTAGTTCAATTTCACTTTACAATATCTTAGTACACTTCATTACTTGACTACTTTTACCTACACAGACATTGATTATATTACTATTCCAAAAAGTACATACACATGAGGTTTTTAAATTGTTAAGGTAAATAACATGCTTATAAATCATTACGAATAAATAAACATATTTTCTGCTTCTATAACGATTATTCGTTCCCGAAATTTTTCACATAATTACATAATTAGGTATATACCAACCCAACCCACTTAACTTACATGTTTTCACATTTCAGTAATTTAATTTTCTCTTATTTCAGTAATTTAAAACCACCCTGAATTACTTCATTAATATTTATCTTATATGCTTAACATATCATTAGCATAAATAAACATTTCGTCATTACTATGTCGCCAGTGTTTGCTTCTTCGATACTGAAAATCATTTATTTTGCTCATTTTTATATTAATTAAACATGTATAACTACGGCAATTTCTCATTAAAATATGTAATTATGTTCATTCAATATATATATATATATATTAATTATCAAAAAAGTGTACGTTATTTAATAGCATAAAAGAAGCATATACCTATACAATAATCTAGTTGTCTTATCAAGGCTTAACCGTACCATAAAGAATGGGGGCATATGAAAATTTATAACGGCAACCAAAATCCTCAGGCAAAATTATGATGTTCTCGCTGAATATTTATTAATATAAATGCTTCATTATGCAAAATTGAGATGTAAGAAATCGAAATAAAAATAAGCAAAATATTTTATTACACTTCATTTCTGACTTTCTGACAACGAAATCTCTGAAACCGTAAAGCCCACAAACTTGAAAAGGGTTTTTGAAAATTCCGAAGGGATCTTCTATTTACACAGGGATTCCTTTTCATATTCATATATATTATAACATAGAAGCTTCGATTATACATACGAGTAGAAGTAAAAACCGCAGTTTTATCTGTATGAATTCTGTTCTTCTCAGTTGACATTTGCATTTCCCAAAACCCTACATACATATGTCTTTGTCACAAGAAAAACTGAAGTAACTTCAAGATTATTGATTTTATAATTCTGAAGATTTCGGGGTTTGTCAGTGAATGATAGATATTTCGCTTTTATATTATTATTATATATCGTCATATAGAAATGTATTATTTAATCCTACGTATATAGTTGGCTTGTTGACTTTCCGCTCATCAAATAATATTATTTCACGAATATCAAAATGTTAGTAAAGTTTAATTATCTATTGGTAACAAAGTGACTACATTTTGAGTTTTCATTTTATATTTTCATATAAACATTCAGTCATAACATGCATGGATCTGTCATTATTCTTATAAATTTATTTATTAGATAGTGTTGTAGTATACATATTGCATCGCGCATACATACATATCTATCTATAAATAAATATATATATTAAGAGACACCTTAGCATGACTTCGCACTAAATAAGTAGATAGCTTATTTACATCATTAGAAGCTGCCAAATTTTACTTCTTTTATTTATATTATTTATAAGTCAAATATATTACATCATTTACTTATTTTTATGTCATGGTAAATAGTTTTGCTTAGCTGGTGACATTTACTTAAACGCTAAATCTCATAATTGAATGGTAATAAAATTCAATTTATTTAGTTTTACTATTTGATGAAACTGAAGACTCATAAAAAGTATTTTCTTTGATTAATGTTTCATTAATGATTATTGAGATTTGGCTTTAATCCCATAATTTTTAAATTAAACAAGATTTTCTGGCTTCTCTTGAAACTTAGAAAGAGAATTCAAAGATCATATAGTACTTAACCTCGAATAACTTGCTTAATGTTAACGCACTTTGAATTATTTTTCATCTTAGTCTTCTGATAATATGAAAATAAATCGAAGTCATATTTAAACTACGATAACTAAGAGATCTCTTTCTAATAGCATATTAAAGATAATCTTGTTTATTCTTTATCAAAGTAGTAATTTGTAGTTTGTTAAAGATATCAATGTCAAGATAGTAACAGGGTGGTTTATGCGTGCAGGAGCCGCGGTGCGGCCTTCAGCTGGTGTGGTCACTCTAGCGTTATCCCCATTTGTACCCGCAGCGGCACTCTTGGGCGCCCGGTTTCGCGCTGAATCTAGTTGCCTACTTCCAGACCCAAATGGCAATCTTGACCCTGAAGCACCCTCGCCTGCCAATATGGGCAGAAGGCGCTCGAGGGCAGTACTATACCAGCTTTCGGGACATTATAAGCCAGATAAAATGAAGACAAAACTTAAACTCAACAATGTTAGTAAGGTAAACTTTATTATGAAACTCTCGCTGAGAAGACTCAATACAACTTTATTATAATTACGAATAAGTAATATGGGCCTTGGTCTATTAATTTTCTTACAAATATTATATAATTTCATAAAAAGAATTGTGGATGATGTGAAATGAATATGTAAGTATTTGTTTTACATTTTAGAATTTGTTACACTCCTCGGACCCACCGCTACCTGAATACAAAACATCGGCAATAAAAAGGTCAAGATTAATAATATCACATTATGGTGTTTTCAAAACATTTTGGGATTGGCTTATTCTCATAGCCACATTTTACGTGGCAGTTGTCGTTCCTTATAACGCCAGTTTTGTTGACGAAGGTCATCCGAGAATTAGTGTAACAATGGACGTCCTAGTTGAAGCTCTGTTCATTATTGGTATGTTAAATAAAGATATTGTTTAATTTACTTCATAAGAATATTCATGATACTAATGTATTACATTATTTTAGATATATTACTAAACTTTCGTACAACGTTTGTAAGTAAAAAGGGTGAAGTAGTCTCGGACTCGAAAGCGATAGCTCTTAATTACATCCGATCCTGGTTTGTGGTGGATCTCCTGGCCGCGCTACCATTTGACCTACTTTACGCGTCCGATGTCTACAGCGGAGCGGTAAGCTAACAAAACAAACTAATTAATTTTACGGTGCTGTTATTTAATTATTGCTAAAACGAGCACTTTCAATTGATCGGCTTCCAAGAAAACGAAAAGTTAACAAGCAATTCCAAGTTGTCCCTAAATCTGGAGACCGCAAATTGAATTGTAATTTGTCTGTTTCAGGAGTCAACACACGGTAACGTGCATTTAGTGAAATTAACGAGGTTATTAAGACTTGCGCGCTTGTTACAAAAAATGGATCGTTATTCGCAGTACTCTGCCTTGATACTGACACTGTTGATGTTGTCGTTTACTTTGGTGGCGCACTGGTTGGCCTGTATCTGGTTCATAATAGCTGAAAAAGAAATTGAACATCATAAACATGAAATTTGGGATTTAGGTAAGTAAGTACATGACAACGTTATTTTCGGATACCACAGCCTTTGTAGATTTTCGGATACCACAGCCTTACCAGTGGGAGACTTTGTACAAAAGTCGATTGCTTGGGTACCTCTGTCCCATTCGTGTTTCAACCGTGAAGCAGTTGTGTTTGCATGGCTGTGTTTCGGTTTGAAGGGTGGGATATGGCCTGAATTTACTGGGTACAGAGGAATAACACCTGAGTCCTCAGAAATGGCAACGCATGAGGGGTATCATGGGCAAAACAGTATACTCTGTTATGTCCATGGTACTGCTCATGTCTATAGGCGACGGTTACCACTTTCCATCAGGTGGGCCGTCAGCTTGTTTGCCATTCTAAGTTGTATAAAAAAAAAAAAGATAAAACAAGTTTGGATAATCATAAAGTATAATTTCAGCGTTTGTAAAGATCAATTGATATTTTTTATAACTTAGGTACGAAGCCCTAAAATATATATATACAACCTTGAACGCCAGAAGAAGTGGGTATAAACCTGATAAAATTAAACTCCTTGAATAATCCCACACATTCAAAATTGCGCATCTGTAGGTAGCTATTGTTACAAAATTAGTTAAATATAATATTATTGAACATTCAATATTATTTTAAAGTTACTTGTTACACATAAATACTATAACGTAACTTAAATGCACTTTTTATCAATATAAGAGAATATTAATTAAGGATTACAAGATTTTAAAAAAATATATAAGTAAACAGAGTCGAATTGTTAAAACATAGATTGATATAAAACACTATATTCACCCATTGATCGAAAGCAACAAGCCAGCTTTGCAATAAGCGACTACCATTTGTCATCGATTGTCGAAATGTCAATGCCATTGTTTGCCGCGATTAATCGACATAAGTTCTATTGTTAATACCTCCTAAATAACTAATATTTTATTATATTAACTTTATTTAATTAGATATTTTAATTACTTAGTAGTAAACGTAAAAGGTGGTTTTAGAGATTTACTTCATATATAAGTATGAGTTTGGGAGCTTTATTTTGGACGACATATTTTTTTTAATAATTTTCAATCATATAATATACCATTAAGAAATCTAATGACATGGAAAGTTTGGAATTTGTGTTAATTGATCTCTTCGTTTATGTAGTCGATTTTTTTTTTAATTGTATTTATCTAGGTGAGGTCCCGGCATAGAATAGGCTACCCCTTCCTTTCCCGAGGGTGTCGTGAGATAGTGAGTTTGAGGCAGCATCGTCCCTCTTAGAACATCTCCAAAACCTAACTGCGGTTGCCAATCCGCCTGCCAAGCGTCGCAACTACTGGCTAAATCCTCCAAGGGGAAGACTTGTGTTCAGCAGTGGACAGTTAAAGGCTGATGTGATGATGATGATCTACTCTATTTCATAGTAAGAATAGCAATGTTTAGTTCTTAAGCGACTTCAAAAAGGAAAGGGTTGATGATATCTTCGCCTATTCTAAAGTTATTTTTATAATTCTTTTTAATCCATATAGTGTACCTACATCATACTGATTCCATATAAATTTTATTATATTTGATGACGCTATTTTTTTTTGCACAACAAAATCTTAAATTATTGTAAATCAATAGTACTTACTATCTATAAAAATAAATGGGTACCTACAAATCACTGATTCACTTATTTCTAAAATTGGCTGTTTCTGATAAAGCATTCGATGTTAAATTGACCGTGAGCATGACCTCACCCGGGCTGAGGGAAATTGTAATCCGAATTCAGCTGAAGCAATATTATGAACGATGTGTGATTAATTTATTCAAATTCCATTATATAATGAAATTGTAATATTATTGTTGAGAAAGTTATGGCCCCCTGGTTTTTGCCCCATCTTCAGACCGTAAAGGTCATGAGTTCGAATTTAGTCAATAATAAATTATTTCACTGTAGCCGACTAATTCTTTGGTATTGGAAAGCACCTTTATAATACTCGTAAATCAAATTAATCTTAGTGACAATGGTATAAAAATGTGCACAAAATTGCATTGTATGTATTTTTTTGTGCACCTACCTACATTTGTAGCGCAACTGTTGCCCGCATTTATTTATGCAACAAAGAATAGTAAATAGGCAAACGGACACCCTGATAGAAAAAGGTAATCTATAAACAGCACCATGGATATCATAGAATACAAAATAGAATAAAAAATACAACCGAATTGAGAACAATTTTGTGAAGTCGGTTGAAAATAAAAAGTAACCAAAAATTTTCTCCCATATTATTTAACAGTTCAACGCGCTGTATTAATATGGATGGCTTAAATATTTTTGTCGTTATTCGCCCCATGTTTGTTTAATAAAACTGTTCAGATTTGTTATTAAAACACTCCCTTTAAAGGATTTTAACGATTTCGATTGTATTCTAAAAAGATATTAATAACATGTCTACTTACATCACTTTATTTTTCATCGATTGTCCCAATGCTTCTCAATTATCGTACAAATTCATGAAACAAAAGCTTTTGTTAGCTTTTTTCAAACCCGTTTCAGGGGTGGTTGATCTCGATACCGAGTTAAGTGCTTCGCTGAAGGATCATTACTTTTTATATGTACTTACCTACATAAATGCATACTTATTCGTTTATGTTTATATTTATTTCTTATGAAACACGAAATAATGGCAAATATTTTATTTTACTTTTGTAACACCATTCAATTGCGTTTATTTAAAACTGTAAATCAATATTGTTTATTGTTATTAGTAAATTTTTATTCAATAATACTGTGATTCGCAACTTATATTTAACTTATTTTATACTTGTATACACAAAGGATATAAAAACAATGTGATAATAGCCAAACAAATCTAGATATATACAAACAAGCGACCTTACCTCTATAGATTTCGTCCCACCAAACTCGTAATATATAAAGAAGCTTTATAATTTAAAAATTCAATGTTATATATGTAATATAAATGTGTAGTGTCTGGTATGTAATAGTATGTGTGATACTAAAACTTTGTAACTAAAATAGCTGTATCCCACGACTTCGCTCGTATGAATCAGAATATAAAATACCTTACTAGTATTCGTAGTCACAAGTTAGTGTAAACTTGGTTACTCGTATCGTGTACCAGCTGTTTAAGCATAATTGAGTAATAAACATACAAACATCTTTATAAACTTTCATATTTATAATATTAGTAGGATGTTATAAATTACAAAACTGATAAATATACAATATATTTAATAATATTAAATAAATGTGAATATAAATCTATAAGTAATATAAATAATTATCACGTGTAGACTCATATTCGTAATATATCAATATTAATAACTACAAAGTTCCACTAATTGTATTTATTTGTCTATAGGATGGATCAATAACTTAGCAGAACGACTGAAAATGCCAATTCCCAACATTTCCCATAGCGAAACCTACGTCACGGCCCTTTACTTCACATGTTCATCGCTGACGAGCGTGGGCTTCGGTAACGTTTCCGCCAACACATTGCCAGAGAAGGTCTTTAGCATAATAACTATGCTAATTGGAGGTATGAATATCAAGTTTAAATGTTATCTAAAAGATATATTGTTTCGCTATAACTTAATGAAATCTCGTTGAAAATATCATAGAAACACTCACTATACAAATTAGTAATAAATCGTAACATTCGTTCGATTAATCGATTGTTAATATATCCTACTATTGGACATCAACAGATTCATAATCGAGTCGATTATTCGTTTATTTACAATATAATAAAATTCTATTAAAAAAACTATAGTTGCATTTATTTGATTACTTAATTTACTTGATTATATTTTATAGCATTTCTTTAAACACTATATTGTATTTGTCTTTGAATTCTTATGTAATGGATATCACAAATTAAATAGAGAAATATTTTTTTTAAATATCACTGTAATAATCAATGCCTTTTTTAATAGTTTTATTATTTTCTTAGATTTTCTTCTCCTTTCATTGTATGCATTGTAAATTGATGGAATTCTTATATATTATGATAACATGTCCTGTCCTGTATTATCTAACGTTCAATTTACTGACACTATGAATTGATAATACTACTTAATATGAATTGGTACTACTTACTACCTATAAAAGTATTTATTTAAAATATTTATATCTTGTACTCTATTTGCTTAGCAACTTCTAGAAACCCGCTCAATGCAAACATAAAGGATTCAGTTAAATTTTGAAACATATAAATTTATGACGTAATAATTTATACATACTTAAGGGTATAACTACGTAATAAAATTATCTAATATTATTGTTACATAATCATATACATAGTTACACCACTTTGCATAATAAAATAGGGTCACGGGTACAACGATTCGGAGTCGGGTCCATTTAGGAAATGAACCTTACAAAATTGGCTCAACTCAGCGTTATGGGTTGTGCTCTCAAATGTTTGTTATCTGGTATCTTAATATTGTTTTAGTTTGAGTACAATAGGTTTATTCCATAAAACAACTTTGACAATTTCACTAACAACTTTAGAGTCATCATCTCTCATAATCATCATATTTTAGTACAAAAATTACATAAAAGTGTAAATTTAGAATTTTAAATAAAAAGTAAAATTAGATTAATAATATATTATTTATTTATTCATTATTGCATATCAAAACTTTGTACAAGTGTCGACCTTATTGCCATATGGCATTCTCTATTAGCTAACCATGAGATAAAAAAAGAAAGCGTATGAAGAGCAAAAGTGATGAAAAATCTGTGACATAATTATAGTACTTACATAATTATTATTGTAACATACTGAAATTATTATACATATTATATAAGAAATACACATATAATACATAATCATTTATTTTAATATATAGAGGTAATAGTAATGTAATAATATATTATATTTTAAGTAAAAAACAACAAATATCTAATTTCATAAAAAAATGAACGACGCGGCCTCGGCCATTATATTATTTTGGTGCTTTTATAATTTACTTTTGAATATCGTTTCAAATTACTTTAATTTCCCTAAATAAATTGCAAAATTTTGACTGTACCTATTTTGTATACTACCTACCTACCTACTATGAATACTTACATATTTTAAAGTCTTCCGAAAGTTCATGAAAAATTTATACTTATTAAAAATGTTATTTGAAAAAGACAAATTCGTGTCGAACAGTTTCATGAAAGTAGACCTAAAATAATTTATGTTTATATAGAATATATTTATAATTATTATTTCAGCATTGATGCATGCCGTGGTATTTGGTAATGTAACAGCTATCATACAGCGAATGTACTCACGTCGTTCCATGTACCAAACAAAATGGCGTGATTTAAAAGACTTTCTGTCACTGAACCAAGTGCCAAAAGAATTAAAGCAGCGAATGCAGGACTATTTTCAGACCATGTGGTCACTTAACCACGGTATAGACATCCATGAAGTAAGTATATTAAATAACTTTTAATAACAACACATACATATGGATAGATACCTAATTATTCTCCTATAATTACTTGTCTGATAAGCGTAGCATTACTACTCACACACAACCCAATAATATATAAGTATGTCTTTGCAGTAAAGCTTTTCGTATTCTTATTATATTTCTTCTGTGACATTTTCTGAACTTCATTTTTCCTGTAGAAGTTCTTACCTATTTCACCATTATTAATGTTGTGACAAGAACAGAACTTTCTTAACTCAAGTAGAGTTTTGTCACTAACCAATTGTTATCTTATATCCTTACATCCAAAGTATAGGTATCAGATACAGGAACGAGCTATTGTAACATTATGATACGTCAAATGACATAGGATTAAAAGTATCGCTAAAATTCGACGTCAAGTCATGTTTTGTAATTCAATTAAGTTTGCAATTAAATGAAAATATTAATTTTGAAATAATAATTTTATATCATATCAAGTAATAATAATGTGGTTAATGAAATTCATTCAATACAAACGCCTATATATATGTAGGTCTTATTCCCCAAAAATAGTAAAACGCACGGGGGCTATTAGGGCCTCACAGAGTAATTCTGTGATAACCATAATATGAATTTTACTATGAATAAATACTTAGTAAATAATAATAATTATTATGAATATGGTAAAGGAAAAATATATACAATACTTGGTCTTAAAATTAAAAATGTAATCAAAATAGTTTTCTTTCAATATTATTTATAATGAAGGAATCAAATAAGAAATATCGATATCTTCAGAAAAATACTTCAAAAGTTAAACTCTATACAATCCTGACTAGCTATTATCTAGCTAGCAAATAAAAATCTAATATCTTCTACTTATAGTGAGAGACCCACGTCCTTTATGTGGGCCTGTTATACTTTGATAGGATGATGTGATTTGATATCCATGATGTCGTTCATATCTATAGATGACTAGCATAACTTTCCATTAAAGGAGCCATTAATATGTGTGTTATTACCAATAATATGATAAAATGTATTTGGAATAGATTCCCATAATATTTTTGCTGGATAATTATCATCTATTGTTATGATCATCTATACACCTATATTACACTCAATGCATTGTACAAATCATATACTTTGTGATGTTCGTGACGTCGACATGACACTTTGATATTCTAAACCTGGCCTCATTAAACTTCGATGACTGATTTATTAAATAAGGGTTAATATTTCAGAAAGATTATATAATATTTCATAGAAATTTTGCTTAATATTAAACCTCAACATCAAAAATAACGTTAATGAAAAACATTATACGGATGTCATCAAAAACGTTCCATATTAAAAATGGAGCCAATCTCGCTGTAAAAGGTTATGAAATCTTATTATTAGATATTGAAAAAAAAAACTGAATTTAAGCTTATAACACATTCCACAACTTTTTATGGTAGATCATTGGTTAACATATTTTTTAAACATTTAACATTTTTGATAGATTCTTCATTTTTTATAAAAAGTAGTGTTCCTTAGAATATACCAACGATATCTAGTTAACGTAGGGCTTTAGTTTCAAAACAAATTCAAAGACATAAAATTCAACACATACGAGTACGTAACTGTACAAAACCGGAGAAAATAACAAATGCTTTACATTTGTCACTTTCTCCAGCCTTGTGCCGTTAAAAAGATTTGTTTAAGAAGTATTTACGCGTACACATGCAATCTGACAAGGAGGTGAAAAGTAAATATTTGTACTTTGTTTTTATACTTAATTTTCTTGTGTCGTCTTCTTTTGAATGCACTGAATTATCGTATGGAATTACAATAAGAAAAATATCAAATATATATTTATAATCTTACTAAATGTCACATAATACGGTTGTATTTTACTATTTTCCTTAATTTTACATAAAAAGATATTAAAAGTTAGTAGTATTTGGTCAACAGCGTTACTACCGCGTTATATATATATATATATATATATATATATATATATATATATATATATATATATATAAATGACACATTCGATTCACGGTTATTAAGTAGTCAGACAATAATTTTCTTTACTAACTTGGAAAGGCAAGCAAGCTAAAGACTCACCTGGTGGATAAAAACCAATATATCATTTGATCCTTTCGTTTTCTCTTCATTTCACAACAATTCTCTTTTTTATGTACCTACTTTTATATATCTATATAATATCTGATGAAAACAACCAAGAAAGACGATATTGTGTAATTAATATGTAATTTAAACTTAGGAAGTGTCTAGAGTCTCCGTAACAAACTTGGTGATCTAGCAAAAACACTTTGAAGCTATAAACTTCGGCTGACGCTAATAGCATAGTTAGACCACATTTCTAGACTCACAATAAAAAGCGTCTGAAAACGTTCTATGTCTGATACGACTTTCGCTTATAGATAATATAATAAAATGGCAAATTTAATGATCATCGCTTTGAAGTCGTAAACGAGATGAACTTACTCTGTCGAAAATCTTATTTTATTATCTGTTTACTACGGGTCTACTTATTTTAGACGTTGAAGGAGTTTCCCGAGGAACTCAGAGGCGACGTATCATTACATTTGCATCGGGAGATATTATCACTTCCGATATTCGAGTCAGCCTCCCAGGGATGTTTGAAGTTGCTCTCTCTGCATATCCGTAACAACTTTTGCGCCCCAGGAGAATATCTCGTTCATAAAGGAGATGCGCTCACGTACATTTACTACATTTGCAACGGTTCTATGGAAGTTATGCAGAATGACATGGTGGTCGCAATTTTGGGTGAGTATTCTAATAGTGTTTATGAAATTTATGTTGATCGTATCAATTAATTCAACTATTGTAATCAAACAGGGAAAGGAGATTTAGTGGGTTGCGATATGAATACTCATTTGCAAGCTTACAATGGAACGGGACAACCCCAATCTAATAATCCTGATGTGGTCGTTAAATCGAGCAGCGATGTGAAGGTACATATATTAATTTAATGAGTAATATTTAGTTTTTAAATAGGTATCAGTTATTTGACCTTTTAAGGTGAATTATATTTTTAAGGGTGATACCAATTTAATTATAACTATAAATATATAGCTGTAAATTTTATTATGTTTTTATTTTGTAAAATAAATAAATATATATTTACATTTACAATTTAATTACGTAAAAGATGATTGTAACAGGTAGGAGCATAATAAATTTTACTCTGTTTTACGGCACTGAGGTGATATAATCATGAATTAATATGCAGACGTCTAAATTATATGAAAAGTACTGCGTACATTACCGATTCTGCATCGGCGACACCATCTTCAAGCTTGTTTGAATAGTTTTGTTATGGGAAGTCTCAGCCTTTCTACGAGTACTTCGATAACTCAAATTTAATTAAATCTTTCTACGTATGTTATTGATTATTTAAGATATATTCTAGTATAACTTCTTAGGTTGATTATTTAGGATAACTATTATACCCACTCTCCGTAATAACTGTACAGTTATAACACAGACTGTACTGTTTTATCTAAGATCCTGTTATTTAAATTTTTGAGTTTTTGAACTCATCAAATTACTGAATGTAGTTAAATAAATTCAAAAGTATTAATAAGAGTAAAATAAAAACAGGCTGACAAATATTCATAGAATACTTACTTGAATGTAATAAGTATTAGAGAAGATTATTTAAATTTTATATAATCTAAGTAAGTTGAAAATAATCTTATATCTATTTTATGATACGATAGCGACTTGAGCAAAATCGAATGAAAATATTTACATAATATGTCAAGAAGCACTCATAACCAATGTTAGGTACTGTAAATACATTTACCTTTCATGCGTTATTTGCATTAATCATGTTCTTTTTACTCGTCATCTTGCAAAGGATTGCGTACTTTACATTACTTACATATGCATGAACTTATTAGATCTTCGATTTTAATAAAGAGCTAAAGTGATGCCTTTTGCATACCAACCAACCCACCGCCTACCTCCGTACAGTGGTACTATTCTACCTGTACTGTTAGCAATGAAATTAAATCACCGCTCGAGTCAAATTACGAAATCAAATCCCTCCTAAAGAAAATCTCAATTTGATGCTATTCATATTCCGTATCCAATTACCTATCTACATAATTTATATTAAATTAAATCTAATTTAAGTGTCCAGTAACAGCTGTAGGAATTTAGTTAATTATCAAACTATGTACTCGTATATTTTAACTCTTTCTAACGATCCCTTTAAAAGTTATTTTAAATAAATTTCTTTTCAGATATATGTGTAGCTTTATTTATTATTGCGGAATTCATTCAACTAGAAAAAGAAAATATATATATATATATATATAATAATTTTATTTCATACATATTTATAATTCCAGGCTTTAACCTATTGTGATTTGAAATGTATTCATATGGGTGGCTTGGCTGAAGTGCTTCGCTTGTACCCTGAATACCAACAAGAATTCATCCATGACATACAACACGATCTCACATACAACTTGAGAGAAGGTTATGAAGCAGAACAAGAATCTGAAGGAAACGGTCACCCTTCACTTACGTTACCGTCAATATCAGAAGACGACGAGAACGCTGCCGAAGACCACGCTCTATCACCGAAGAAACCTACATCTAGTGCGAATAGTCCGCGCCATCCTAAATTCAGGTTTGATAATATTTTAAACTAATAAGCACAGTAATTTATCCAAATTTGGGAAATAATTTGAATAATTATATAAAATAAGAAACCATCTACTTAGGTAACATAAAATTATACTTCGGTGAAAAACAAAATTTGTTAAACTAGGGCATCTATTTCGATATATGTTAAAAATTATATCGAAGTTGTGTACTATGTCTGTAATGTACGTATAAATTTATATTCCTACACTTAACATTTAGTAAACAATTAAGTTATTCCTTGTAAAATAAGATAAAAAGTAATCAAAAGAACCAATACCAAACCCAATTTATAAGTATATCCTTTTAGATAAAAAAAAAGTTCAAATCGGTTTATTACTGACGGATTTATGAGGTAATGAATATAAAAAATACGACTGATTTGAAAACCTCCATTTTTTCAAAGTTGAAAATAAAAATATTTTTATTCTAGTGAAATTACGCATGTGGGGTACCGTGGGAATTACAGTATCCCCCATGCATATACACAGTTGGTCCTGTTCATTTCTATGGACGACATTACCACTTTTAATCAAACAGGGCATCAACTTGTATGCCGATTTAAGCAGTATAAAAAAAGTATTAGTTTATTTTATGCACTGATAATTCCATAAACAAAAATCATTGATTGTTTATGGTACACATTTGGATTGTTTACTAAAGTGTCAAGCGTATAAAACGAATGTGTACTTAGGTATATGTGAAATGCCACTCACTAGCTAATCCTGAAATCTCTGGACACACGAAGCCTCCAAACAATATTTGGCGCAGAGACTCCTCGTGTAACGTAGGCGTCCACTATTAAGGAAAGATTTTTGAGAATTCCCATCGGAACTAAAGAAATCGATCTACGAGCGGACGAAGTTTCCTCCTAGATCTAATTTTATTTTATACGTGTCTTAAATTATCACTTGTTTTAGCATATTTTATAATTTATCAATTTTTAATAGTAATAACTTATTTAAATTATAGACATTATTTCGATTAAACTACACAATCAAAGAGAGAACTATCTGTCTCTTTCTTTCAACTTTATTTCTGTCTCTGAACCTAATTTTCCTTTTTTTTATAGACTTATTTATATTTTGTTCATTTACATTATTTTTTTTATTTTTAAAAGATTTTTGTAATATTTTTTTCCTTCTATTCATCTCCACTATACGTATTTTAGTTAGCTACCCTATTCCAAACTTACAAACAGTCCCCAGTAATTGAATTTATTCCGTATAATTAAATTGTAGGTACAAAACTTAATGTAGGCGCCTTAAACAATATTATACGAAGAACTAGCCGACTTTTCCTGGCCTCGCACGAGTAAAGTATAGGTATAACCTCGCATTACTGTCATAACCAAATAAAATAACGTAAATATAAAATGATTAACTCCGTGAATTGCATATAATAATGGAATTCTCACTCTAATTTTATGTATCAACTATTATTACTAACGTTATAAATGTGAAAGTATCTCTTGGCACCTTAACGGCCCAATCGTCATCGTCATGAAATTTAGTACACACGTAGTATTTGTCATGGAGAGGACATAGGCGACATTTTATCACGGCTAGTCAATATATCCTAGTGACATGGGTGAAATTGCGGATAAAACTTAGGGGAAAACAATGTGTTGATTTCAGTAATACACACGAAAAATAATTCTTCTTCAAATGACAATTTTTTTTTTTCATTTTCTTGAGAGAAACTAATTTCTAATTAGTATTTGCATTGCATGCATGCATTTTGCGTGCATTTATGTACCTACAGTAAATAATGTACTCTGAGCTTATCTTATATAAATAGACAGAAAACGCGGCGGTAACTTTATATTATGTACTCAGTAACAATTAATTTTCAGGTCGGACGGTCAACAGCGGCTTTCGCATCGGGAGTTACGAGAAAGGATAGAGAGACAGCGCTCAATTGCTACTCCAAAGATAACGAGGGCGGATTCATTAGAAGGATTAAATTTGGAGGTGCACAACACGAGGTCATCTGTAGAAAGGCTTGACACTCAAGTCTCCAGTCTACATCACGACGTAGCCGCACTCAGTATGGAGGCAAGTCAAATAGTAATCTCATATTAGCACATTAACGTTAACCCATTTGTCACGTACTAAACAAATTCTTACCGCCGTGATATCATTCAGATAGTAGGAATAATATTATAACATAATTATGTTGCCAAATAACAAATAGACATTTATAGTATGCCTAAATAATTAGATGAGAATATTGTAGGTGTATGTTAATTTTATTTTATCTTATTTACATTGTTAATAGGTTAAGGCACTTCTTAAGATAGGTATATTACTTCAAGGTTTTGATAAATGTTTATTACTAATGGAAATAATACATATGTTTGTTGTTTCCCCATTATTCTCCACATTTTTCTTGTCTTAGAAATTACCACCTACTTAGATTAAATAGGAGTGACACAAATTCCATTTTCTCGGTTTTATAATATATAAGAAAATGCTGTTGACTTTTATTCCCTTAAATCCATATAATCGCCGTACTCGAAAAGTCGTTCGCATAATAATTTTTGTAAATTCTCATAAAAATAAAATATTTTACCGTAATAAGGAGTTCGTAATGGATATAACGTATATCCATCCCAGGTAAATACTATGTAATTACACACACATTATTTCTTAAATAATTGTCCAGTAGATCTAGCTTGACAAAGACAGTCTAGTTACTATTTTATTAGATACATGTACCTGTATAAAGTGCGAACGAAACGCTCTGGTTAAATCAAATTCATTATTGTTTATTATCTAAATTTCACCCCCATACTAACTTAACAGCTCAATGCGCCATATTAGTAATGAGAAACTCAAATTTTTTCATCGTTTTCGATCTATGTTTCTTTGATAAAAATGTTCAATTCCGCTTGCGGAATACTAGTAGAATACTCACTTCAAAAGATGGTAACAATTTCAATGTCAAACCGTATACAACAAATTAATCAAAGAAGATTAGACCATACTACCTACTATACCACCTATTTAATACCTGTTGCTTTTTTCTGAAGTTTTGGTATTTTTAGGTTCGAAATGCAATCCAAGCTCTACAAGAAATGACAGGGCCAGCGGGCTGGCACGCAGCGCACTCCAATCCGAACTTGCAATGGAACGCACCACCCAATCAGCTTGCACGCAGTTGTAGTCACCCGCCAGACGTATTTTGTTGGGATCAGGCAAGCTTCCATGCTCTTATTTTATGTAAAGGCTGACCATATTCAAGCCTATGGTCAGTCTTCTCCACACTTTAAAGAAGTTTGTTTGAAAATGAAATTGTCATTAATTTTTCACAAACATCATTCGAATTGATTTAGTTTTATTATCAACATTTTCCATCTTCAACAAGTGAGGCAGAAATTTCATTTAAATAACAACCTTCGCGGTCTATAAGTTTGAGTTAAAAGCATAAGGAGTATTTAATAAACTCATTTACTTTATTTTTTTCCTACAGCAAGAGAGACCACTTACACCAGAACGACCAAAATCAAATAGGAGTACACAAACCGAACCATTCCTTCACTGCGTCACGCAATACATTATGGAGCATCCGGCCACAGTCATGCTATTACTAGGCTTAGACCCGATGGCCAATCTCGCGCCTGTTATGACACAAACTCTAGATTACTATGACCCTCGAGCCCGTAGATCGAGCGTACTCGAACAAATAGTGGAATCTGAAAATGGAAGTCAAACGCCGTCCAGTTCGGCTAGCGAGAAATTCGAAACTACAAGAAGCCTCAGCGGAAGTGCCAAGGATCTCAATACACAACCAGAACTGAAACGCTTGCTTGAACCAGAAAGAGTATCAAATTTAAAGAGAAGTAGACACTCTACGAGTGACCTACACGACGCCTCGGAGCGCCTACTAGCGACCAAGGCCTCTCATCCTAGCACGCGGAGTCTTAAATATAACATCAACAGTTAAATGAATATTCCATTTTCATATTACTTAGTACATTCTGCTCATTAGCCTTTAATAATGAAATAAAACTACTAGATTTAAAATACTTTTAATATCAATATAATTTATGATCATTGTTACCTTCTTCTTTAGTGTGATTCGCTTGTTGGATGCCTGTTTTATAAGCTTACAAAAAAGATTTTATACGTGTTATTTTTTCTATCAACGAATCTACTATTTTAATCAATTTTTATCTTCGTATTTAATACAAGATGTACATATCAAGTGTTATTGTTAGCTTAGTATTTAGATATTCTAGTCACTGTCTAAATGTATGTTGAAAGATTTGGGAACGATTATCATAAAGTATAACACCCCCCCCCTCTGCCCTCCCAAAAATAAACACGTTAAAATATAGACCAATATTTAATTATTTAGCGTTACGTGCTCCAAAAGGGGACCTTATAAAAATTTATTCAGGTTTATCTTTATATACCAACATAAAAATTAGATATAAGAAAATATTTTTTGTGATTTATGAATAGTTAAATGAATATAGTATATAATGAAGATACCGATAACATTATATTGGTATATATGTAGGACAATACTAAATAAGCTATGTAGATAAAATCTAAGCCTAAGGATACCTATAGGTATGCATATATCAAAAATATGTTTTGGCAATTTTCAAAATGATATAAAAAAAAAACATCATTTCTTCGATGATGTTGACATAATTGTGTCAAATGTAGACGTCTTCCTTTCATTTTACTAAACAGTATTATTTTTACATATTTTCCTATTGAGTAAAGGTGCCAAATTCTGATAAGCTTTTTTCAATAAATTATATGAAAAATTACATAAAGTGATATTGTTATCAATGAAAACTTTTCATTTTACATCTTATTGAATTATTACATAACAGTATTTTTAGAGAACTAAAAACATTTATGTAATCATTAATATGAGAACTATTTTTATATAAGAATTACACATAAACGACATAATTGTTTTCATTTACGAGTAATATGTAATCCATGTTAGGTACTTAGATACCCAGACGTTGATGTGAGATTGGTTACTCCTTTGTTATATTAATCGTATGATTAATTAGTTACGTCAAAGATAGTAGCTATATTAATTAATTTATCCTTACTGAGCTTCTATGCAACGAATGAACAGTAATATAATACTACATACCTTAATATCGCTTAGTTTGTTATGGTTCTTAAGTGTGTTACCCATTATAGTAATATTATACATATTATAGTAATCAGCTTATTTTATATCCGTATTAAAAATTTATAATCTAATTTTCTTTACTTCGCATAATTATTAAATAATCAAAAACAACTTTAAACAATTTAGTCATCTAAAAATAAAATAAACAAAAATGTATGCTATAAATATCCCCTTTTATCCCCGATGGTTATACGCGTGGTTTTTGAATAAATCATACTCCAGAATTTAAATTCGACCTTCAGACAATTGTAAAAATTTTCAATAAATTTGATGCAGTAGTTTTGCGTAGAAAAGAAACTAGGGATTCAAATTTCATTCACAAATTGTTTGTTAACATTTAAATGTTTTAAATTACACAATAATTAAAGTTCTAATACGATAAACTTTTTATTATTTTTCTTTTATTCGCTGTTATTTAAATAAAAAATAACATCCTAGGAATATTTGTTAGATAGTAGTGCCAATTATATAAAAAAATATATACTTAAATTGTACTTAAACGGCTATACTCGGCTAATTTAACTACTTTAGTGCAGTGTTGATTTTATTATTTTATCTACATTCATTAAATTGCAGACTGTTTGGTATTTAATCTATATTCACCTTATCACCTAGACATAATAATAGTGTAAGTAATAAGTATAAAATACAATACATATTGAAAACTTATCCAATATTGTCAGTATGAATCGTTAACTTGAATAAAAGGTTTATTTTATTAAATAAGGCATATTTGTTTAAGATGATTGGCTAAAATCCAGTATTATCCTTGTTATTTCAATGTTTTTAATAAATATATGGAATGTATATAAATTCCTTTAAATTAACGTAGTTAAAGAATGTTCCCAGGTAATTGTCTATCTACATAAACAAATAATGGTATGGGTTTACTTACACTTTACTAACAAAGGTATGTCAGCTGACCACATATGTCTGATGTTTGCCTTAAAAATAAAGTAATTTTTGTCAGTAAATACCATAACACAGAATAAAGTAAAATTATAAATAATAAGATTTAGAAAACGTGGCTCATTACTGACGTCAACCTTTTTTAAAAAAAAAACAATTTAAATTACTTTTCAAAGATATAAATATGTATTAGTCTTATTATTACAGATATTTATCGCACAAATCGTAATTTTATATTTTTATTACTTTTATATATTATTATTGATTATATTAAGAAATTATTCTTAATATAATCTAAATATCTATAATATAATATAAAGTGTCATACTTATGTACAGCCTGAAAAAAAACTGAACATTTAAACAGCCAGTATGAAAAAGTACAGATCCAGTCGTATTTGTTACCCAATTGTGGAGCTTTGGACGTTTTCTTACACTCTTTATTCTATTTAAATGTATGTAACCTATTAAGTAAAATTATAAATAATACCCAAGTTTCATATAAATTCGTTCATCAGATAATTGTAATGTTTCAGCTACTCTTAAATAGTCCCCCATTCCTGACATAAGACATTTTAATGTTAAACTGACGATAGTATATCTTTCAATTTTAATAATAGCAATGTCGTTAAATCGTAGTAGTTAACATTACATAATAAATTATATTATATAATAGGATATATAAATGTTCTTTAGAGTGAAAGACAAATAGGTATCGCTGATAATGTGCAATTATAGCTTTAATGGTTGAAATTCATTACTGAAGAGTGTACTAAACTTAATACTTACCTTTCTAAGCAATATCATTATTATTTGTATATACCTACACTATAAAATTGTTTCTTGATAATGGTATTAAAACAAATTTAATGGGACAGGCAATTTATAAGCAAATGTGCTTTTTACATACACACTTCTCAAATATATCCAACAATAGAATATATGTATATACATAGTAACTCTTTAAATGTTCTGAAAAGTCTTTGTGTTGACTATTACAGATACGTTTTTACAATGTTATAAAAGTTTGGGAAAAATAAATGTTCAACCTGATTATTTCACAGTGTAATGGAATCCAATTTCTCTCTGATAATAATTGATATAAGAACGGAAACGCTTATTAGTATAATTGAATAATAATCGTGGTGTACGTTGTATAGAGGCCATGAATGTGATATGATGTTTAAACACGTGCAGTGCCTAAATTCTCATTTATTGATTTACTTAATCTTTAACATTTATTGAAATCTAAACTACTTATTACATTGCGCATTCAAAATGTGCGTAAGAAAAATATTTTGTACATAAGTATTATTGTGAATCCTTATCTTGTAGTACAAAAGATAGTTACAGTAAAATTAATAAAGACAATTTGATGTTGAGGTGGTGGTATTTCATTTCTTCTGTGTAATCCAGTGGCCTGTGATCTCATTTCTATACATGCTGCTACACATATACTAGATTTACTGTATAGTCCGCAACCTGCAGTCGGTAGATATGTGTACATATTTTCCGCTCCTTACAAGGAGCGGAAAATTGTAAACTTGTACAAAAAATTGTAAAATTGTGCAAACATGCAAATTTGCAAAATCTGCCGTCCATACAAATTTGTAACAAGTAATTCATTTTCATTTTATTATTTAATAGCTAATTAATTCATTCTCATTACAATATCTACTTTACCTACATGTACTTACATAAACGCCTAAATAAATATATACAAACGAGTGCCTCTCACCTCCTAGAAAAGTGGCGGAATATAAAACTGGTTATAGTTTAAAAAAAATCGGCTTATATGTTAACAATATGTTGCATACTATATATGTAATAATCTACAGACACAATATATTGTTCATATAATTTATAAATTATATCATTTAAAATACTTATTTGACCTCCATCGCAAATGCAGAAGTGTTTTAATGATATGAAAATTGAATGGTGCACTTAACTATGCAGGGCACCAATGGAGAATGAACAATGAGGATAAAAAAGCAGTTTTTTTTTAATGGATGATAATGGAATGGTAACCCCGCCTACGCTAAACGTATACACTGGCGAGGTACCAGTGAGGGATGATACGTGTGAATGAAAAACAGGTCAGTTAGCCCATCATGATGACACTTGGAATTCAGCACGATGGTTTTCAGGGGGGATCACATGGAGTTCGTTCTTACAGGGTATATTGTTAACGATGTGAGTAATAATCCGCATTACTAACAATCCCTTCTCCTTAAAAAAAAGCAGCGTGGCGTAGCCAATTCAATAGGAATTAATCTCAATGGTTACTAGAATAGACCACGTGTAGGTCGACCTACATAACAAATGGCAATCCTTACTTCACTCTTCCTGAATTATCATACACATATCTACAACCTGTAAAATATCACTATATATGCTAAACATGTCTTTAGAATTATTCAGATATCTATGTATATATAATAAGTATTTCATGGTATATTATGACTAATAGATATAGATATGATTTCAACTAATATACTATAGTAAGCTTAGGTACAAAATCGTTACTGAACTAACCCGATTGTTCGCAGTCAGGTAAGCACTCAGTCGGGTTGCTTTAACAGCTTTTAAAGTACATACCTAACAAACGTAATGACGTAAATGTAGGTCGTGCGAACGAAGCACTGCCTACTTTAATTTGCCGCTAGTCGGTAGTTGGCCTGTGAGCGTTCCCGTAAATTTGCATATGAATGCTGCTATAAATTTTAATAAAAACTGTAGAATAAATTATCGATTTTATTTGTATATTTCTGTCACAATAGTACGATAAATTTAAAAATATAATCTAGATATAATATAGAATATCGATAATGACAAACATTTTTAATAATATTTTCAAAATTTTGGACTTTTGAAACATGGGCCAAATAATTAAATTATCGGGAATTAGTATTATTGTTAAGTTGATAGGCGTTATTGGTAATATGCTTAAATATTACATTTTTTATAGTTCTGTATTACCTAATTGTGGATACGTTATACTATGTATATGGGTATGACAAATATCCTACAAAGTGTCCCCTACGTAAGGTAAGATCCTACATAAGATAGGGAATATTTGTCAATCAATATTAATCAATAGGGATTAATATACAATTTACTGGTAATAAGTATGTGTAGATGTACCAACATTATTGCGTCTTATGTGAGAGTTTGCCAGAAGAGCCTAATATTATTTTACAGTTCAGAAAGTTGTCGCGTGAACAATAGCGAAAGAAAAACAA